ATTAAAGTTTCCTCATCTGCGTCTTGACGAGCAAAATCAAGCGTTATATCCTGAGGTATGCATTTCATTAACAAAGGGTATAGTAACTTTCCCCATACAATTCGGTCTTGACCCCTATCGCAATTTAGTGACCTATTTGTACGTTGCAGGTATCATATAATTCCCTCAAGAATTAATGTCATTAGAACTTCGGACAGGCCGTAAATTTAAAAGTTTATGCATGTAAGAATTAATAAGGAAATCTTTTCGACCATACCTATCTTTGAGAATCTTAAAAGCTTCGTCGTAGTTTTCTGGAGATAAAGAAAAGCCTTCTATTGTTTTTAAAGCTACACCGCCTAACAGGCTAAGCAAGTAATTAAACTTATCTACTTTAGATAGTTTTTCGTTTTGATTTATTGCCGTGTCAAAAGAATTGTAAAATGTCTGCCACATTTCAGCATTTCCATAAAATTTATCAATCATAATCTTCGGCAATTTAACATTATAATCAGAACTTTTATTGACACCAGAAATAGATAAATTGTTACTATCATTAGACGAACCATTAGAAACTAGCGAATTATTGCTATTTCTTTTTTCTTTCAATAATTTTGTGCCTCTAAAGCTCCATTTCGAAATTTTTTCTTCGTATTCCAAGGCACTTTCGATTTCGGTTTCAATGTCATTAACATTAGTCAAAGTTTTTAATTTTTTCGCTAACTAACGCTTTCAAAGAAATAGCTTTTACTTTTAAACTTTCCAGTGATACTTCAAGGTCTTCAAGGTTACCGGCTGCAACTAATGATTCAATAGCATTTGTTACTTTAGTAATGGCTGAACGCATAACTTTCCGTTCTTTCTTAGATTTCGTTAGCTCTTCAGCCATTTTTGTAACCTTGAATTCCACTTTACCACAAAATAAATTCAACAAATTTCTTACCTTTCTGAAGACTCACTTACGCATTTATCCGTGAACTTTGCAGAATGACATATCCTACTTCTGACACCACTGTCATATCCTTCTTTTTCTTGGGCGTGTAGCTTCTGGATATGTATTTCCTTCCTACCGTAGACGTATCGTATTGTGTGCGTTGCATAAAACAGCCATTTTAACGGCACAACACTTTATTAACACACAAATAAAAATAATAAGTACAAACGATGAACACACAAGTATCACTTCGTATCTTGCACCTAAGCTGACATACAACACATTTCCTTCGTTACTTTGCTACTAACTTACTAACTACTCTTCTCTCGTAAGTCTCATGAAAGAGAGGCGTTGCAGGCCGTTCGGCTAAACTGCGCATGCGTGGTCATCACGTCATGACAGCGTCGTTGTGCGCTGTAGTATTTAATCCAGTATTCATTCTTATGGACAGTAACGTAAGTACCACAAGAGTGATGACTTTCTTCTCATGAAGTGTTTCCTTATTCGTCAAATCTCAGCTCCATAGAAGGTCTTTGATATGATTTTGGATCTTATAGCTCTTCTTACGTACTCTTTCCAACAAGATGCAGAAGCTTTTCTATTAGAGGAATGGTAATTGTTGCTATCTCATTTTCTTGATAGCTTAATTGAGGGTATGGAAAATCGCTGAAGGGCTTTATAAAGGTCAGATGTGGTCATACCCCTTATTAAGATAAGTTTCTGTTGTTTACAAAGCTTTCAGTCTCTTGCTATGTGCAAAATGCCTTTTAGCTATAAAAAGGATTACAAACACATTCAAATATGTTTCGTTTATTATATTTTAGCCATGAATACCTAACGATGTGCCTGTATTTACGTAAAATTAAGCCTATTCAAGCATAACATTTTCAGTTGAGTCTCATCTACTGTCATGAGTTTAAGGTTTAGAAGGCTGTGTAATTTTAAAAAGCTTTCGAAATGATTTTGGATAACTGCATAAAAGATAATTTCAACCGCCGAAGTTTCCAAGCATTACTTTTTCCATATATTTTTAACTTAATAGTCTTATGATCAAAATCAAAGAGAAAGCAAAATATTTTTGCGAATTAGTGAGTCTTTTCTTATCTAAGACATCGGCAATACATCTAAAGGGCCATTCACACCGGAGTTTATCTGAGTTGCGGAGTCAGTTCCATGTGTCGACTAGCTCTGCTGTACCTGCAGTTCAGATTTTTTACCCCGTTGCCCTATGGGGTAAAACTAGTTTTGGAGATGGGTCGAATATGTCAGATGCCTCCGTTAGCTCAAATAAACCCCAATCTGAAGAGGGCCTTAAATCACAACAGGGATCACAAGCTATTCATCTTAGTGCTATAGCTAGTAATGATAGCGAAAACAGAGGGTAAGTTTGATTTCGTATTTGTCGTTTTGGTTGCTCCTGCTGAAGTTTCATTGAATTAAAATTAGAAATCTTAAGACACAAACCTGACAGTTACACCTTACTCTCAAGGAACCAATACTGGAAGCTTGATCAAGCACAATATCAAGACGCTCTTTGTAATCGGAAGTTCCATACAAAAGAGTTTCGTTGTTGAAGAGGGCTGGTAACCGATTCGTTTACCAGCGAAAGTTTTACAATTTATAAAAGTTATATCTCGCCTTCCTAGCCGGCCTCCGTGGTGTAGTGGTTCGTGCTGGGCCGGTATCCAGAAGTCCGTGGTTTGATTCCCGAAGGCTTTTGCTAATTTTTCATCTCTTCTGCTTCTAAAATACCTAATGTCTCTACAAAGTAACGAGCTGCAAAACTTAGCGATAGCAAATTTTTAAAAATCTACGCGGGGCACTAGTCAGCAGAATTTAGCAATAGCAAAATTTTAAGAATTTAGAAAAGCACGGAAGAGCAAAACTCAGGAATAGCAAAATTTTAAAATTTAAGAGTGACAAAAGTTTTACTAAATTCTAAAAATCGGAAAAATCCAGCGGCTTCCTAATTTACGAAATTAATTCTTCCTAAATTCCTAAATTTAGGATCCTCAGCGATTCCTCAGGACGGCAAAATGTCTAGCGCCGGCCCTGTTTCTGAATCTAATATTAGCAATACGTATAAAATCTAAAGTGTTTTGTACAGTCAAAAGTCGTTAATCCGGACTCGTCGGGACTTCGGCAATTCCGGATTATCGATTTTTCCGGATTATAGATCATCCGTTTAAATCTCGTAACATGGCATGCAGAAATTCTAAAATTAAAAATATGAAACCGTAATTTATGAAATAAAGAACAATTATGATCTAAAGGGTATCAAAATTTACAAAAAAAAAAAGCTTAATATTTATTTGTTTACTTTATTAAACATTTCTTTCAATGTAAGTTGTTTAAGTTGCTTCGTTTTATGTGATAATACTTTCTTTTTAATTCTCTAAACAGACATAATTTCTTGTTCAGTTACAAAGTTCCGCTGTTCAAGTCCCGTAATTGCTGTGCCGAGGGTACTTGTCAATCGAAATTTTTTCGTTTTCACTAACCTCTTTGTCACCTTCTTCATGTCTTTATCCATTTTTTGCAGCAATTTCACTTTTTGTTTGATGGTCATCGAAACATACTTTCGTTTTGTAGATCCTTTGGGAGCTCCAGCATCGGAATTCTATTTGACATAATCGAAAGTTCAAGTTTACTTTTATAACATTGCTCTTACAGTCTACAAAAAATAATAAGCCGCATCCAATTCGAAGATTAAGGAACAACGCAATCATCAACATTAACTGAAATAGATAATTTTAGCTTATACGGTCCGTTATACATTAAACGCGCACGCGAAAACGTATTCTGCACTTGCGCACACGCATATGCGCAATCGTAAAGGTCTTACGCGCACGCGTAAACGCCTATGCGCATGTGTCAACGCGGCGCATGCGCAGAAATTTTTTAGCTTTGAGGTCCTGATTATGGGTGTCCGAATTAACGACTTTTGACTGTATCAGCTAAAAAATGGTATATATACAGACAAATATGGTATTCATTCTGAAATGAAAGAACTAAGCTTCGATGAATATTCTGCTTTACTTTATATATATATTTTTGCTTGTTATTTCTTTAGTAACAATTTCATGTTTATAGCCTACTTTATTGCGGAAAGAGAACAGCAGTTAAAGCAAAAATTGTGTTCTATATTACATGCATTAGATACTGTCTTATGTTAATTGATTGCTTATGTTATTGATAAGACTTCCATTCGATAATATGCCACTCAATGCTAAAATTTTAGAAACTGAAAAGTTTTTATGAAAGTTTGCTGAAACGAGATGAAGTATAATTCAAATTCTCAGTTGTCTTTAGTTTCTTCTCTTTAAACGTAAGTCTGTGCTTGTACAGAAGTGTCAACAAAGGATATCTGGAGAGGGAGACAACAGAGAATCTCTGGAGGAGATCTCTAAAGAGAGGAACAACCTCTCTTTTCATTTGTGTCCCGATATCCTTAAGCCTATGTTGAACGCTAGATAGTTAACAAGTGAAAGCCTTGCTGATATTTCATTCCCTGTGATTAAAAAATGGATTTGTTTTGTTCTCGACTTGAAGTATAATTTCAGCCCAGTTGTACGAGCCCACTTGCCAGTCAGGTTTATTGCCTTAGAAATCCCATTGTTAAGTCTCATACAGCACAACAGTAATAAACACGATTTTTGCTGGCGGTACTATCTACCTGCAAACATCACCATTAACAACTCCACAGAGTATTCTCCAACAACAATTAGTTCTACGTACTAAATAAAGATGGAGCCTCTGAACAAAAAATGTTGAATAACAACAATGACAGGGCTTTATTCTCAAGAAGAAGCAGGATCTTGGAATTTAATTATAATGATAATGTGTAGTTTTATACTTATCGAATATTTATGCAAAAGATGTACATTAATCCCAGAATTGGATCTTTTATTTTCTAATTTAGAATACTTTTCTTTTAGCCTGTTTCACGGTATTTACTTTATTGCGCGCCAAACCATTATGGCACAATAGTTTATTTATAAATGAATTGATTTAGAAATTAAAAAATTCAGTTTTTGTTTGCCATTGATTAGAGAGTTCTTCAACCCTTTTTTCATCTTTTTTACAGACGTAAAGTTGCATTAACGCTTTCAGAGTACAAGTGTTTAATACAAGAGATTTGTACCACACATGATCTGGATTATTTCGAGATTTTAGAAAAAATGGCTAATGCTTCCTTGTTGATAGGTAAATTTTATTTTGTTAATAATTTCTTTTGTATTGCATAAATTCAAATAATTTCAAATGCAATAAGTACATGTGAAACAATCTCCAGCTTGGCGCTATCTCGCCAGTTTGGCGACATAACCATTTACCTCAGCGTTAAATAAACTTAAACGTTAAGTAGCCTAACCCTAGGTTAGTACGTTAAGTAGCCTAAAATTCTAAATGGACTCAACATTAATAGAAGATGGACTCAACAATAATAGAAGCCTGTAAATGGACTCAACAATAATAGAAGCCTGTAATTCTACTTTTCCCGCAATGCTTCGCAACGTGAGGTCTTTTATGCTGCATTATACGAGAAATACGAGAAATTTATACTAGAAAATTTCACTAAAATTATTAATATGTATACAGAGTTCGTAACATTTTATTTTATTTTAAGCGTTTTACATTTCTTGTAAGATTGTTATTTATAGTGAAATACTCGTTCGTTGTTACTGCATTATCTGTGCTAGTTTCTGCTGTCATAACAAAAGCGTTTGTATACATGTGTATCGCATAACGCAGGGACAGAAAATTCCGGGGTACTTTTCCGTTTTGCCGGCGCAGCCGATAAAGTCGCCAATAATGGTGCAACTGGTGCCAAACGAAATATCGGTTAATCTTTGGATTATGGTAACTTGGCGATTTTTTGGCGAAAATTTGGCAACCAACCCTGCTACAGCTACCTGCTAGTTTTGTTTTGGACGCCATTTTGTTTTCACGAAGTAAAGGCATTTTTTTTTTTTTTTTTTTTTTTTTGTTTTTTTACTCAACATTTTTTTCCAACAATCTGCTAGCCGAATTACGCTTATACTAGAACTTTTATGAACAAAAATGCTTAATCATGACGAAGATTAGGTGTGAAATTGGGAGAAAGTGCAGAATCGCAAACTGCTTGCCGCGGTTTTAAGAATTGCACATACACGGTATCATCCATGTACACGTCGACCTATTTTCACTTAAAAAAACATCCCAGAATTGCACAAAAATGGCATTGCTCACACTCTTGATTTTATCCATGTACACTACTAAAGTCCTAGCTAGTAACTTTTATCGCCTTACCAAAATGTCGCCAAACTACCTGTTACCATATTCCAAAGATTAGCCGGAATATCTTCGCTGGTAAGCTTTTACGCCTCATTTTCAAAACAAGTAGCAGCCATTTTTTATCAGATTGATTGTCTCTTTCAATACTGGCATACAATTACATAGAGTTTTTACCAGATAGTTCAATTTTATGGCCTAAGGCCATTCGCGGTAATTAAGTCAATTAGAATGAAATCACACCGCTCACCCGAAGGCGAAAATATAGAAAAGGCAAAGTCAAGGATTAAATTCATCACTTCTAATGAGAATGCACTAAAGAAGTAAACCACTGCGGTTTCACATAATTTAAGTAAGCTACTCGCACGAATTGAAAAAAACTCTTGCTGAGAGAATTAGATTTTTGTAGCGTAGTTTACGTGAGATGAGATCTCTTGGGCTCACGTGATATAAACCGACGAATCAGGACGTTGTAGCATGAAAAGCTGGAAATACTTAAATTAATGTCTTTTTACAAATTTATTGTCTTTCTTTATCTGTTGGCTTTTTTTACAAAATTTCAAACGACGTTAAAATGTTTATGCCTTCAAAATAAAAAATTCTTAGAACTAACATTTTTTAAGATTTTTTTATGTGCATACTGTATGCTATCGCCAATAAACTCTGCTTGGCGAGATTTGCGCCGGCGAAACGGAAAAGTACCAAGTCCGGAAATATGAAATTTTTAACATAGCTTCTCGAAATGGAGTTCGTAAGTATCTCTAAGTAAGGCTTTCAAAATTCAACTCAGATTTTTCATTTACTCTTGTGCCCACCAGCGACCGAGCGGTAAAGACGCTGAACACTGGTAGTTCGGTCCGAGGTTCAAATCCCGCGAACGGACTGGCTGCATGGGCGTTTTCCTCATGTGTAAGTGTATACGAGCCAGTTTCCCTTAGAAAGTCCTCCACGAAGGCATCCCTCCCTTTAGACAGATAGCTCTTGTGTGCTTTGCCGTAATTAAATAATCCAATCCATCTACTCTTGCTGAAATTTTTATGGAACTTTGGTGCATAGTTTCGCTTATCGATCGAAATAAACATCACAGCGTTACGCTTATTGTACATGGGAATCGATGTTTATTTTGGGCGACTTTTAAAAACTGATAAACCTTTTTTCTATCAGACTGTGTTCAATATTTTAAAATTTCAACATTGAAAACTTTGTAACACGTCGAAGTTTTCATAGGTTATAAAAGTAACCTCCTGCTTTCTTAAATAAAATAAAATTAAAAAATATTAATTTTTATCATTTTTTAATATATCATATTATAATTTCAAGAAATAAATTTGGTTGTTTCGCTGGTCAGAAAACTACCTATTTCCGAGCAAAACCCTGACATAACGTCATCATACCCCAATACAACAAAACCAGCTTATGTTTTCCCAAGTCTCAATAGTATAATGTTCAATGCAATGCAGGCAATGTACAGAGCTAGCATAAATGATCCTTTCATTTTGAAAAGTATTACGCGTACACACATGAAAAATATATGAAAAGAACCAAAAACTCACCAGGTTTTTTTTTTCAGTGTTTCACCAAGTTTCCCGTACATGTCGAAAGTTGCTTCATCGCTGAATATCAACTTGGTGGCGAAATCCTTTTCTTTCAATGCCTTCCTGCATATTGACGTAAAAATTTAGTCGACGGGCATAATACTTCGGCTTTAATTGTTGCAGGAGTTATACATGGTACGGTTTGAAATGCAACCGTTGACGCAAAATCTTCCACACAGTTTTTGCGGTATTCCGAACATCTGATCAATTGATAGGACGAGCATTTGGACAAGAATGCTACAAATGTATGGAATGAGCTCAATCATCATCCGGACGCGTGTCATGTCACCAAAAGGGCACATACTCAATATTTGTAGAGGCTGTATAAACTTGGTCAGTTTGTGTTTCGTATCATTTCGTATCATATTTCATGCGTGTACGTGAAATACAGTCAAAAGTCGTTAATTCGGACACCCATATCCGGAATGATCTATAATCCGGACCTCAAAGCTACAAAATTTCTGTGCATGCGTTGCGTTGACGCATGCGCGTAAGACTTTTACGGCTGCGCATGCGCATAATACGTTTACGCATGCGCGTTTAATGTATAACGGACGGTATAAGCTAAGCTAAAATTATCTAATTCAGTTAATGTTGCAGATTGCATTGTTCCTTAATCTTCGAATTGGATCCGGCTTATTATTCTTTACAGACTGTTAGAGCCATTTTATAAAAGTAAGCTTGAACTTTCGATTATGTCAAATAGAATTCCCGATATATATTTACTAATATTTAAAGGATCTACAAAGCGAGAGTATGTTTTGAAGTCCATTAAACAAAAGTGGAATTGCTGCAAAAAATGACCTAACCATTCCGAAATCTCTTTATCAATTTCACGCTGCTCTGCGGCCGGGGGGGGGAACGCAGCGGCGCGCAATGAATTGGAAGTTGATCTGTCAGCACTATCCTTATCTTCAGGGCAGATGTTTTCATATTATTTGGCTTATAATTCCTTACTAAATGTAGTATTTCCTCTCGATGTACTCCGTCTTTGATATGATTTAAATCAAATTCCTCGTCATTATAATTTGCTTTCGATAGTGAAGAAAGTGACGCAGAGGTTATTGAAAACGAAAAAATTTCGATTGAAAAATTAGTCGGTATTCTCGACACAGCAATTATAGGACTTGAACAGCGGACCTTTGTAACTGAACAAGAAATTATGTCTGTTTATAGAATTAAAGAGAAAGTATTGTCACATAAAAACGAAGCAACTTAAACAACTTACATTGAAAGAAATGTTTAATAAAGTAAACAAATAAATATTAAGCTTTTTTTTTTTTTTTTGTAAATTTTGATACCCTTTAGATCATAATTGTTCTTTATTTCATAAATTACGATTTCATATTTTTAATTTTATAATTTCTGCATGCCATCTAACCAGATTTAAACTGATGATCTATAATCCGGAATCGCCGAAGTCCCGACGAGTCCGGATTAACGACTTTTGACTGTACTTCTGAAAATATAGCCTTTTCAAACCGAATGAATCATTTATGCTAGCCCTGTATTAAGGGAGTACATGTAGTGAATTCGAGGCTGCTCAATACCTTCTTCAGTGTTCTTCAAAATCATTTGTTAGCATAAGGTACTATTAGCCTCGGAACTCTCTTTTTACTCGTACCATGTTTAAGATTGTTGCCACCAAATGCCACCTGCATTAATTATTTAAAAAAATAAATAATGAGCAATTTGTATATATGTATGAATGTTCCTGTCATTGTGATAAAGCGATGGCTCTTAGAGAAACTGAATTTTGAATGCACATAATCCTCTGCCCGGACATGGTCACCAAGAAACTCGAATTTTGAACTCCAATTTTTGTTTTTGATTTATTTCAAACTTATATTTTGTATAAATTTAACGAACTTTTGTTTAAAACACTCAGCGATCTAGTAGTCAAATGTAGAATCACTGTTCCAAATAAACCATTTTTATCTCCAGGGCACCAGACATTTGCCATTCGGAAAAATAAAACATCTTTCAGCTTTAATCCACAAATTCGGCTATTCGAAAGCAATGTATTGCCACTGCCTCAAACAGAATACTTATTATCTGTGCGCACCAGCATGTTGCCGTTCAGTAAAGCGGAAGATTTCAAATTTTAGCTTTCTGTCGTTGAGTAGCAAACCAACAGATTGAAAATCAATTAAATGCATATTTTTTCTACTTCTTAATTTGGTTGATTTCAATTAAAATGCATTACTTCCTGCGATGTCTAATGAGAAATATTAAACATTTTTATGAAATGACACTAGTTGGGCTCATTAAAATCATTACACACTTTTTATCTTTTATGATAAGTCTTTTAGGCAGCGACTCCTCAAGCGACTAATTTTTCAAAGAAATAATGTAGCGAATATAAAAACTGGCAGGCCCTAATACTCTATTGGAAAGTCTAAAGATAAGCTGTTTTTAAATATTTTTACGTGCATATGGGCTCATAATGGCTTGGATGTACACAGAATTGATAATAACTTGATTAAATTAATTTTCCCAAAAGAAACACTTTGTTCTGAAACATTTCACAAAAGTACTCGTACAGCTCTTCTAAAACTACGTTTACTAATAAAATGTTTTACTTAAATTTTTTTAGATGATGCTGTACAGCCTGTTAGAAGAATGTAGTCGAAGATTTTTAAGAGCTTACCATAGCGCTTACGGTGGCTGTCAAAATTCAGTCAGTCTGAGAAATCTTGAGTTTGTATATTAAATGAATTAAGTTTAATCCATTTAATTTAAATGATGGCTCAGTAAAGGAAATATATATATTCACCACGAAGTAGTTATTTTTTGTAATAAATTGGACTGTATAAGTTTATTATCTGCTTAAAACATATATTCAAATATTAATCACTGTTTCTTTTTTTTGTGTGTGTGTGCTAAAATATGTAAAAGTAACCTATAATTTAATTATGTAAATGAGCCTATCTGTATTTAATTCCCGACACCTAACAATTTTATATAAAAATATTACTGAACTTCCTGTAATTTATGTTTATTATATATTTATTAAATATTCTGTGAAGGTAAATAAAAAAAAAGATTTTTAACTTTTCAGATTCATTTTTACAATGTGTATTCTTTATTTCATTCTGGAAGTAATCAACAAAAATATGTATTTTCAATTCGTCCAAACGATGCCTTGTATTTGAAGGGAATATAATGTCACATTCAACTAAGCCACCTTCCGTGTAAGAAAAAAAAAAAAAAAAAAAAAAAAATCTGAAATGTTTTAGATTTTAAATTACGTCCAAAGGGGCGTTTTTTAACATTTTGTGTGTTACCTTTCTTTATTAAATATCATGCTTTAAAACGAGCATATCTTTAGAATTTCCGATACAGAGACTCACGCGCTGGAGATAAAAATGTTTTTTCTGCACAACGTTGCCATTGCTCGCTTTGAAATCCTTGAGTTTGTTAATCAAAAATTCGTCAAAGTTTTAAAAAATAGGAAATCGATCATAAAACAAATTTCAAATTTCAAATTTGGTCTTCCACATGCTCATATTCGTTGGAGGATTACGTTATTCAAAATTCGATGACTCTATGTACCGTTATTTTATGACAATGTGAGAAATATACATACATTTACGCAGATTTTCATTATTTAATTTCTTCAAATATAATGCAGGACTCTAACATTTTATGGCAACAGTTTGAAAAGTGAACCGACATTTATCCGTCCGACGCAAAATGCCAAAACGAAACTAATAGTCTTTCGGGATTCAAATCCCTTTGGACTAAAAAGACATCCAAACTTATTTCTAACTAATCACTTATACTGTTAATACTAATTGGAATGATGTTCACTCTATATTTTAGAAAACTGATTTTTTAGATCTCAGACTGATTTTTTAACTTTGATTTTGCTGATTTGTAGAATGCAGAACAGGCTGTAAAATAATGGTAGAACACAATGAAGATAACATTCAGTCGAACCAGAACGAGACTTCACTAGAACTTTCCTTTATTTAGTGTATACACATAAAAGCATAAATAATTTTTACATATTACAATATATGCAGAATAATCTGCCGACAACGACGCGCACGTACCTTCCCCTTTGGGCCTAATTAATTTTATGTCTCTGTTGGCGAACTTCTTGCGCGCTTCTGCGCCAGCGTCCACCAGTTGGGAAGATCGTAATCCCCCCCCCCCCATCTTACACTGTTTATGACAGCACTGCATACAGAAACTATAAATATAACTTCATTATCAAATTGAACTTTTCTTTTCCTGAATGATGGTATCATTAGTCAGGTTCGATGAACGTCCTATCATTGATGAAACTATTTTGATTTCTTTTTTATTAGGGATCTAGACCAGGGGTTCTCAACCGGTGGTACGCAAGAGAAAAATAGGTGGTACGCAAAGTATTTTTAACTATTAAATTCACAAATTAAAACCCCAACATCCTGATTGAGTTTTTTTTTTCCTCCAAAACTCGTAAATTTATGCGATCTGAGTTTTGTTCAAGAGTGGTGGTGATAGCAGTACTTTGTAGTGGCGGTACTAAAGGTTTTCCGTTTTTATTTAGATGGTACTCGTTAGTCAAAAGGTTGAGAACCGCTGATCTAGACGAAATGCAAGCAATTTCAAATCGTATTTTTAGACGCAAATAATGTAATTTTAAACCAAGCTGCAAAAAAATCATGAAAAATTTCAGGAACAGCAATAAATCCGGAGAAATGAATTGTAAATTAGAATTTCGGAAATATAATAAAAAATTCAGTGATTTCGAATCTCTGCATCGTATGTAATGAGATAAATATTTTCTTCAATTAAATTATAAAAGACGTCTCACAGAGATTTCATTACATGAGTCGCATAATTCTGTCACTCAAATAAAATATGATAAAATGCGTTTTTATGTTTGTATGAGAACGAAATAAAAGCATATATTGAACACATTTCTTTTTTTTCCAAATACAACCGCGCTAAATAAAAAAACGTCGAGATTATAGAACACCTTTTCTAAGGTTCTGAATGTCATCTTTCTGTTCTAGTTTAAAAAAATGTAATGTAAATTTGCACATGATTTGAAGCGAAATAAATCTACGCGTTTTTTAATTCAGTTCTTCAGCGGTAAATGTCAATTTATTAATATATAATTGCTTTTTCTCTTGGACACAACTATACATTAAATGCATAAACCATATAAAATTCAAAGAAAATACTCAAGAGCAATCTCTCGTTTTACGATCTAGTGCTGCCATCTGTAAAAAAAATTCACTTGTGAGAACATTTTTAGTGCTGCCATCTATTATCATGAAGAAAAACAAGATATGGAACTAGCCTTTGGAATATAAGCAATATGCATTTAATTTTCCCGATCGACGCTTTTTATGATTTACACGAATTTTAATTTTGAAATTTACCTTTTACTCATGCTTCAAAACGTCGAATAGTTTTACAATTCCTTTTTTTTTTTTTTTTTTTTTTTTTTTTTTTTTCCAAAAGTACTTTAACAACATTGGATAAATAGAATGATTATAAAACCAAGTAAGAGGATAAATATACATTGCTTAAAATACAGCCCAGATTCTTTTAATATGATTTAAATCACATTCCTTGGAAACGTACACTGCCCTTCTATAAAATTTAAATTGAACCTGTAATTTTATCTATTTTAAAAGCATTGCATTATTAAAGACTGCTTGGTAAAAGCAAACGGACCTTCCATAGTATATTGGAAATATATATATACATGCGTAACACATGTATATATAAAATGCTTTGAATAACAACAGAAGATTAGTATAAACTGAAGTCTTTACGTCTTAAGGATTTGTAGTGGTTCCATAGTGAGGCAAGACACAAGTTTAAAACATATAAACTTTATTTAACACATCAATAATAACATTCTGATGAGAAAGGAAATTCATACACACCGCTCTCTCCTCACCATCCGCCGCTCATACGGAGGCGGGCATGCACAGAACTCACAAAACTTCGTACGGTGTTTCCATGGCAACACCGCAGCTTATTTTGAGTTATTAATTAAGTACTCGTACTTTCAGTAAAGCCTGCTTTGTGTGAAAAACATAAGGAGAAGTCTAATCCACCTAAATATCTACGCAAGCAATAAATGCAGAATTAAAGCTATAAAGTAGTCAATGGCTTTTGACTTTTCTCTGCTTGGTTACTCCATAATTAATGGCTCAAAGCTTAATTTCAGATGCAGAGTTCCTAAAACAATTGCTTTTCTATTGACCTATATTTTTTGTTCATTATGACACTCTGTTTATTATTTATTCTTATATTTATCTAGTGTTTATAATTGTTTGTTTAGAATTTGTAGTTGCTTATAATGCTTTATTCAGAATTTGCGATCTATAGTGAATTAGACGGCAACTAAAAATTCCTGCATACAAAGATCTATTTTTATTATCCTTGCAACTACTGACGGCAATTAGAATTTGGTATATTGTCTAATAAATGTTACTTATTTGTAGGCTTGCCAGATTTCAGAAATGTTCAGCCGGGACACCGGAATGCCCCCCCCCGCATCGCAGGTATTCAAGGATACACACCCTTGGCGGTTTTTTTAAGTGCTTTAGAGGGTCGTTTATTCTCAATGTTATGAATAAATGGTTGCTTAATAGGAACCTAAACCATGGGTAATAATAAATGACACAAGCATATAAATTTAAACATTTTATTTCTTACATGCTAATATTTATAAATTAGCCAATGAGAAGAAACACTTTAAATGGGGAATAAAAATTTTAGCAGTATTTACATGTACTTCTCATTGGCTAGGACTTTTTTTAGAACGTCTTTTTTGGTTTTAATCCTGTTGTAAAAACCTTCACAAGCTAATACGATATTAATTTTACCTGCCATCAAGCCTTTACCGTAGATTCCTTCATCAAACCTTTATCAACAGTCCATGCGTTGTTCATCAACGAAAATACTCTCTCAGCTGGTGCCGATGTCCCAGGTAAGCAGAAGGCATACTCAACAATCTTGATCAGAATGGGGAACTGCTGTGTGATTCTCTTTGAAGGGATCAAACAGCCTGAGCCATTTTTTTTCACTTGAAGTAATCGCATCTCTCGTAGACTCTCCTTGCTTCCACTGTTCCCAATTTGACTGCAGATACTCCTTAGCAAGCACAGCTTCGTCAAACTGCTGATTAGTGTTTATTTGCATATCAGGTACATCAAGAAGACTGCTGTTAATCATTTCAGCAGCAGAAGTTTCGGCTTTTTCCCAATTAACAGTATTTGTTTTGGTCAGATTGGCCCAAGAAAACCGTTCAGCATTTCCAAAACTATTCTCCCAGGATTCAAGTATGCAATGCATCTTTCATAAAAGCCATCAAATTCTTCTTTCACACTGTCGAGCAAGTTCTTTGCGTGCATAGGACTAAAGTTTGAAGTCTTTCTTTCTGTAAAGTTTCTTTTGAGAGCTTTAAATCAAATTCTATAAAATCTATAAAATCAAATTAAATTTTCAGCGGGACGAGAAGTAAACCGCCCGGGACACCGGGATTTTGTCTCAAAACAGGGACGTGTGGCAAGCCTACTTATTTACAATTATATTTCTATTCGTTTTTTGGGCAGCAATAAAGCTACATTTCCCACTGGAACTCGTAAAAAAAAAAAAAAAAAAAAAAAAAAAAAAAAAAAAAAAAAATGAAAGGTTTTTAGATTTTAAATTACGTCTAAAAGTTTTTTTTTAAAAAACATTTTGTGTGTTGCCTTTATTGATTAAATATCATGTTCATCGCACTTAAACCATAGAACTCATTTCAATACCAATATCGCAAAATAATTTTAAAATGAGCATATCTAGAATTTTAAAATGAGCATATCTAGAGCATATTTAGAATTTCCTATACAGTTTCGCGCACTGGAGATAATTTTTTTTCGTACAGTGTTGCCATTGCTTGCTTTGAAATCGCTTAGTTTTTTTAATCAAAACTTCGTTGAATTGTTACAAAATCTGAA